TGGGGGTGACCTTATAGAGGCTTATAAAATCATGAGGGCATAGACAAGGTGAATAGCAAAGGTCTTTTCCCTGAAGTGGGGGAGATCAAAGGTGGGGGACATATTTTTAATCTGAGAGGAGAAGGATTTAAAAAGAACTTGAGGGGCACCTTTTTCTTTGACATAGGGAGTGGTTGGTGTGTGGAATGAACTGCCAGAGAAAGTGATGGATGCAGGTAGAGTTGCAACATTTAAAAGACATTTGTATAAGTACATGTATAGGAAAGGTTTAGAGGGATATGAGTCAACCACAGACAAGTGGGACTAGCTTAGTTTGGGAACACAATTGGCATGGACTGATTGAACCAAAGGGTCTGTTTCCATGCTGCTTGACTCTATGACTCTATGTTAAAAACAAGATTTCAGAGCACCACATTTCAAATGCATTGTTTTGTTTCAAGTCCAGTATGACTGTACTTTGGAATGAAAAAGATGCGGGAAAACAGTGGTTCTTGTCCTGTTAACCTGGTTGGGGGTGCAGGGTGTGGCCATCGGAGGAGATGAGTAAATGGGACAGATCGTGAGGGGCCCCAGAGAAAAAGACAGACAGTGAAGAAGCGATAGATAAGTAAAACTGACATAAATGTTTGCTGTGAGAAGAAGAAAATGTATCTGCTCTGCTGAGAGAGCTGTCAACAAGACACCAACAAGACACAGCTGGGGAAAATGGGGGATGCAAGCAAAATGGAGTACAGGTCAAACTCCAAAGTTATGGAAATCAGTATTGTATTCCACAGGTTATAAAGTGTCAAACTGAAAAATGAGGTGTTGTTCTTCCAGCTTGTGTTGAACTTCATTAGAATACTGTAGCAGGTCAAGAATGGAAATATTAGCATGGGAGCAAAGTGATTTATTGCAATGGCAAGCAACTGGGAGGTCAGAGCCATTGCTAAGAAAGAGAATGGAAGTGTTCCACAAACTGCTCACCCAGTCTGCATTTGGTCTCGCCAATGCAAACACTGAGTGTAAGCATTGAGTGTGACACTGCCTTGTGAGCACTGAATACAGTAGACTAGATTGAACGAAGTACAAGTAAAATGCAGCTTCACATAGAAACTATATCTGGGGCCATGGACGGCAAGGAGGGGAGGGTGAAAAGGCAGCCTTCCAAGATTACATTGGAAGGTAGCCCGGGTAATTAAGAAAGTATTGGAAGTGATGGAGAAATGGACTAAGGTGACACAGAAGGAATTGTCCTCCTGGATTGCTGACAGTGGTGGGAAGGGGAAGATGTGTTTACTGGTGTCTGCTGCCGCAATATATGACGGGATGGATTTCCCCACAGTTCTAATTTCTGGACATAATCTTGATAGTTTGAGTCATTTTAATCCTGGAAGGGCTCAGGAAGAGCTTGAGACATGTATAGATATGTATGTGTGTTGAAAGAGCCAAACAGACGCAGCACCAAGTACCTAAAGGACAGTGAGGTGAATGAAATTCTCAATTTCTCTCTGCAAATTGCAGCTCAATGATTACAATGGCTCCTTTATGCTGAAATAAATTTCTAAGTGCACTTTGATGGTGGGCGGGGGAGGCAGCCAGCTCAGCTGGCTGAGTATTGGACATTTAAGGAGCTGATTCCACCTCTACCAGTATTTTACCTATGGTACAGGCATCCCAATTCAGTGGATAGCCCAGCAAAGTCTGCTGTGCAGACTGGTGTCAAGCATTAGGACATGTTGAGGAACTGATCTAGAGTTCCCCTGTGCCTGTTGACTCTATCTCCCTCTTTAATCCTCCTGTTCTGAGGCTTTCAAAACTGACCAAGCATTCCTTCATTCCCTGTGTTGAGTTCTGCTAGCCAGGGGCCCTGCCAATACCCTAAGCTAACCTTTAAGTCCAGCTCTGCAACTGCCTCTTGATTGGGGGCTGTTTCTATTCCCAGCCACTGCTCAAATCTAGCACTTCTAGGACTACAGAGCTGCCAGTCAGCCATTCAGACTGTTTTGTGAAGTGGGTGCAGGACAGATGTTTTGTTTGGGGGGTTTAAAGGGAGGAGAGAAGGACCGGTTTCTTCCCCATGTTCAGTCAGTGGGGGGAGAAGAATATACTCCCTGTAACATCCAGCCGACTCAAAACATCCAGACTCAAAACAACATTGGCTTTATAGGGAGAACAGCAGAGACAGCAAACAGATGGTCTCAATTTTCATAACAAAGAATTTCACAATGAGGATAATGATCAATCTCTCAACTCAGTAACTTAAAACATTTAAAATGGTGAAACTTATTTGATGTTATTGAGCAGATATTGCAGAAAATCTAGAATTTCAGAGCAGGAAAAGGCTATTTGAACCTTCAAAAATGCTCCACTATTCACTATGATCATGGTTAAACATCCAACTCAGTACCCTGTTCCCACTTTATTCTCATACCCTTTGACTCCTTTCATACTAAGAATGACATCTAAGTTTTTCTTGAAAGACTTCAATGTTTTGGCCTCTCAGTTTTCTGTAGAAACTGACCCACAGCAGACTAACTGGCAGTCAGAGTCATAGTATTGAACACACTCAGCACATGGAATCCTTAAAGGTGAGCTTCCTTAAAGGCAAGGTGCATGTAAAACACGCCATTTCTTTCCAAAAGGAAGAAAGTTTAACTACTTGCAATACTAAGTGAGCGTATGATTCTCCATAACATACAAAGTAAACTGCTGATGCATCAGGAACCCGTCATAGTACATTGATTGGAGGTGTCATCAAGTTTTTCTTTCACATTCTACAGTTACTGTTCCAGAATTTTCTTATCCTGATTACTACAGTCATGTGTTGTTCCAGATTATCCATTCCTCAAGCTGTTTTAAGTAGTTCTGATCTTCTCAGCATTAAACTGTTTTGTTTCTCTTGAACTTTATTCAGAAACTTCTGGTTTTACACCCTGGATTCTTTTAATTCTATGTACATTTTAATATTCTGTTGGTCCAGTATATTTTGTTCTTTCATAACCTGCTGTAATAATTTTCCAGCCTCTAGATACTTTTTTTTTGTTTTCTTTGAGGTTTGGACCTCCTTCACTTGTCGACTTAGTGTTTGTTTGGTTGTCTTTGCATCCTGCTTTGAGTTCTTTCACCAGAGAATTATTGCTGGCATTTATTTCTGAAAGGATTGTCTCATAAATGATTTATAGCTCCTTGGCATCTCAAACTGGTTTTGCTCTTGTCATTTCCTCTTGCATTACTTTGAGCTCAAGCCTGTGTTTCTGCAGTTGCTCCAATTGAGCTTGATCAGTTTTACATGCAAGTTGCTCCAAATCGTTCTGTAAATGGGTAATTTTTTCACTGGATTGGTGTCCAGAACTTGTAGTTCATTTTGCTTGCTCTCCCTATCTGTCAGGACTCAATTTGTCTTCTTGACTTGAGCAGAGGTACTCGCAACAGAACTTATCATCTCAGAGACAGTGTTCTGAAGTTTAGAATTATGCTGAGCTAGTTGGTCAACCCTTTCCTCTCTCTAGTTTTCTGATCATTTCATGTGGACTCCTCTGGCAGGATGCCAAGTGGTCTTTACCTTGAAGATTCCTTGTGTGTGGTCCGTTTGGATCACTGCATTGCTTTTAGTAGCTTCCTCAGCTTTATTCTAGTGCACAGCCTGTGCTGATGGCCTTTTCTCCCATATACCTTGCAAAATTGATTGAAAAGTGCGCATGTCGCTGGCGCATACTGAAGGCAACACTTTCCACAGCCTGTTATTTTTGGATGTTTTAGTGATTGTGTCAACCACTGAGTTTATAATTAGATTCTGCAAACTTCATCAACTGCGATGATGACTTCATACTCACATACCCTCTTTGGGGCAGGGGAGCGGGTGCTGTTCCCCCACTGTTCATCACGGCATCGTAATGATCAAGATTTAGTAGTCATTTAGGATCAATTAATTTGGTGCATCAATTTATTCAAAACAGTACAAGTTATGAAGCAGACATTACAGCAAACTAACTGATATATCTGTATGCAGCTTGCAAATATAAGGCAGAATAACTGGCAGAGAGTTCATGGAGCACTTATAAGTGAATTCTCTTAAAGGCTGGGTAGGTGTACAACTCTTCACACTTGTTATTGAATGCAAGTGTGGACATGAAAGGGCAGAGTGGCTTAAGGCAAGGGTAGATACAGAATGTGTGCTACATTTGCTCTCAGTTGATCCTGAAGTAATGTGTGATTTCAGTAGAGAAGAGAAAGGTGTTCTAAATTATTCTGCAGTAGTTTTAAATTTCATTTATGTGCTGTGCACTGAAATGAACAAAGACTGCAGTAAGAGCTTGGGAGCTGAATAGAACATGGAAGGCTGAAGGTTTTGTTGGAGACAGTGAGTGAAGGCTGAAGGTGAAACAGTATTTTGTGTAAAGCCTTTCACATTGATTGAAGGATCAAGTCCAGAGCTTAAAAGTGCAATTGTAGACCATGGCAGCAGAGTTGTAACCATCTGTTGTGCAGTGAAGTGAGGTTGAAATAGGATGGAGGGTGCAGAAAAATGACACAAGTGTTGCAAAATCACTTTATGAGCGGAATATACAGGAGTGGAAAGGATATGGGAAGGTTCAGAGAGATGGAAACAGCTTTTGCGAAGGGTGAAGTTTACAGAGGACAGAAGAGAATTAATTTGTTTTGACCAAGGAAGTCATGTCATATGCACAAAAGCATATTAAACACGAGTTGCAGTATTTTCAATTATCGTATGTGCTATCAAAGGATTGTTATCAAGGATGATTCTGCGCTTATTTCAAGCAAAACATTATGCAAGCAATTTAAAATTATTTCACTATTTCCACTCAAACTGCAATAGCTTCAGAAGCAAATCCTTAAAGACAATTGTATTTTTTAATATCCTTGAAATGATCAATTCAAATAAATCTATGGCTGTTTGAAATAGCTCTACTTCTGTCTGAAATAAGTTTCAGGAATAAATTAACTAATATTACAGGACAGGAAAATAAATCATCGCTACATAGACAAGATTGACTTACCCCTGACTTCTAACGTACAGGTCGTGGTGTCGTTGCCTAATATATTAGTTGCCAAACAAATATAAAATCCTCCATCCTCACTCCGGACATCCTTTATTTCCAAAGTACCATTTTCATGCACAAAATAATTCTCACCCTCAAGTGCAATTTCCATGTCTTCTTTTAGCCTAAAGAGAAAAAAACAAAATTTGAAATGCCCACATTAAGTTTCAATGCACAAGTGTAATAAAGCTACACAAGTTTCTCTTATATAATTGTTCATGGCAATTGAGTGTTACTGGCTCACTTAACATGTATTGTCCATCCGTAATTGCCCTTGAGGTTAAAATCTGCAAATGATTTTCAAACAGTATTGACAGTAGATCAGTGCAATGCATTATTTTTAGGATTAAACAAATCCTTACCAAAATACTGTGGGTGTAGGAGATCCAAATACTTTACAGTGTAGCTGAGCGGATTTTCCTTCAACTGCAATATATTTCTGATCATCAGGGGTCAGCATCATCGGTGCAAGATCTGTTGATGAATATAAGTGAACATTAAAATGAAACACTGCTTAAAAGTCTGTTTATTCAGTGGATGTCAGCAAATTCTTCAAGTGCTTGAAATATGACATTACACAATTATGCCAGCAGTTCTTGAACTCTGACAAGCCAACTGGTAGAGTCTTCAACTCTGCTGCATTGTAGCATTTAAACCTTATGGTGAAAAAAAGATTGGGTTGCAGTCTTAGCAGCTTGTGAACAACTCATTGGGGTCCGATTCAATTATTTCACAGCTGTATAACCTCATTTATCTGTGAAGTTAGCACAGTCTTTGGAAAAGCAATGGAATAGGATTGGTCAAAAGGTTGGCAGCAGAGCACAAACACAGCAGCTGATTTTGCTCACAAAAACTTCATAGAATCACAGCTGAATGGGTAGAGAATGCATTGGGTATAAACAGAACTGGATACATGAACAGTTCCTTGTTTCTTTTGTCCAAAGATCATGCTTTAAGGCAAACTAAACAGATCCAGGGGGTGTGGTTCCTACTAGAAGCCGGAAACCTCAAAATTGGTCCTTTTTATAGAAGAATTATTTCGGAAGAATCCCAATATTAGCAAACACTGTTCATACTCTGAGACAACAAGGTGCAGGGCTGGATGAACAC